CGCTTAACCAACTGAGCCACCCAGGCGCCCTAAGATTCAATTTTAAACAGTGCTATGAAGAAGAGATAAAAGGCGCTATGAGAACATGTCTTGGAGACATGGCCATATTTCTACATGTGGTCATAGATGGCTTCCTTCAGCAAGGACCTCGAGTTGAGACTTGAAGGAGAAATAGAAGTTAGTCTGGTGAGGGAGGGGCAAAGAATCATAGGTGGAGGGAACAGCACGTGTGAAGGGCCTGAATTAGGAAAGAGCTTGGTGAATATACAAAACTGAAAGATCACCTTAGAGAATGTGTCCGGAATGACATGAGGTCCATCTAGAGAAAATGAGCAGAGGCCAGATGAGTTTGACATGACTGGGAGGCATGTTCTCGACTTTGGGTTTTGTTCTGGGTGGCCATTGGAGGGCTTTTGGGAGGGAGGGGAGTGACATGATCAGATTTATTCACTGGAATAGTCATACTGGCTGCTGAGTGGAATATTTATCAAGATCTACCATGTACCGGGCACTGTGTTGAGAGCTAGGGATATAACAGTCCCTATTATATATATATATATATATAGTATATTATATATACTATATAGTCCCTCCCAGATGTACCTCACAGCCAACTGGGAAACTAAGTATGAAGTAAGCTGTTGTTCCATAGTATGGGACATACATAACCAAAGCTAAGTCCTGACGGGTGTCACGCAGATGGATTAAGTTTGGCAGTGCCTAACTGATTATGGGGCAGTCAACCAGGAATCCTTTTGTTACCTGGAGGCTTGAAAGAGAATGTTCAAGACCATTGTTTCTGGTAGTGGATTCCATTATATTTTGTTCATATTAAATATCTTGAGCATCCACCACAGATAAAGTGCTCTGCTAGGAGATGAATAAGGGAGCTTATAATCAAGTAGGGGAGATGAGATGTACAAGTTCACTTCAAACCAACAGATAGTTTTTGAGCGCTTAACGTTGTATGGCAGCAAAGACACAGCAAAACCCTGGCTTAATGGGCTAGTGCAGAAAGTAGACATTGAAGTAGAATACGGGTTTCAGCTACAGGATGGTCAACTAACTGTGACAAGCTCCATGAGACATATAAAAATTAATACAACATGAGTTCCTGCTACAGTTATTACGTTTTCATTGCTCTATCTTAAGATTTTCCTTTTAAAGTAATCAGGAAAAATATTTATTGGCAAGAGTGCACCAAATTCAGTGGCATCGAATTCCTCTAAATTTGGTTATTTAGAGAAAATTCAGTGAATATTTATTGAATATTTTATGTAAGACATTACAGTGTATATTAAATATGCAGCCTGGTTTCTTATTAGATCTTTTTTCATAAGCCCATAAACACTCATAAAAATGTGTGCGTAGTGTTCCTTTTCTTCTTTTTATATCCTTAAGCCTTGGGGTTTTTTTTAATTCTTGTTTAAATCTCTGTTTGAGTTTATCACTAGAATAAAAGAACAAATATTTTGAATATGGCAGTGACTTATTGAATTAAAAAACAAATTATTACAACTCTGTGTTGGTTTTTTTTTTTCACTTCTCTTCTTCCCCCCAAATCCCATAATTGTGAACTCTGTCCCACTACTGTTTTTTTTTTTTTATTATTTCCCACTCACATGTAAGCCATTTAAGGGACAATGAAGAAATGCGACTTTATTACCCAGCATGCACAAGAGGCCTGTTGGTGTTGGTGTTCTGATTTAATTACATAACACCCAGTTATCTGTCCTGTCTCATTTGGGGCTCGAGGTAGCAGATCTGATTTAGGACGTTAGACTACAATGACACCAGCCCTGCCGATGGGAAGAATTTTTCTATAACCGTTTCCTCAGATCTGATCTACTTTATAATTATGATACCACTCATAAGCCACACAGATGAAGCCACATCTCTGGGGAATTGAAAAGGTCAACTGAAAGTAGCAGCCAGTTTGCTTCATGAAGTCCAGCAGCAAATCATGTCTCCTGATATTTGGGGAGACAAACAACCCAGAGAGAAGGGGTCATTTTAAAATAGAATGGCTCTGTGTGCATCGTCTCCTTCTCATCGCTAACCTCTAAATGGCCTCTTGCCAAAACCAACCAAGTATGGCTTCTTCGCGTCAAAGCTTCCTGCGGTGACACAGCGGCCTGAAGGAAGGTCACTGGGAGGACAGCCTTTGTATGGCCCAAAAGTGCTGCTTCATCCCTCCCCCCGATTGTAGTATATCATCTGCTAATACAAGGTGAATTCAGTACCTGTATTACTGTGTTAGAGGGAGGGAAACAGTGCCTGGCATTTCATGGCAAGTGCCAGACTGAACCCCTGAAAGAACTCTGCGAGTTCACTGGGGACCCGTGGAGTACAACTAAGGCAGGGCTGTTTAGGACTGAATGTTTGTGTCCCTCCCCAACCCCAGATTCACATACTGAACTCTGATATCCCCAATGTGATGATGATCCCCAATGTGATGATCCCCAATCACCTCCCAAGGTGGGGCCTTTGGGAGGTGATTAAGTCATGAAGACAGAGCCCTCAGGAATGGGATGAGTGCCCTGAAATTAGAGATAAGAGAGATGATCTCCCTCTCAGCCATGTGAAGACACAGTGAGAAGCCAGCCATCTAAAGCCGGACACCGGATCTGCTGGCACCTTGATCTTGGACTTTCCAGCCTCCAGAACTATGAGACATAAATGTCTGTTGTTTAAACCACCCAGTCTATGACATTTGTTATAGCAGCCCAAACTGACAGAGGCACCATGGGCGCTGGTTCCCCAAGCTCCTCAGAGCCAGAGCCAGGGGGGCCAGGAACCTCAGCAGAAAGAAGACTGGGTTGAACAAAGAAGTAGAGACAGAGTCTGACCAAAATATAGAGTCAGAAGGATTTAACTGAAATTGGAACAAGGAGAAAAAGCAAAGCAAAACAATGAGGCCTGGTGAAAACAGGCTAGAGTTACGGGAACGATGGGAGGGAGGCTGTCTTTGGAAACCGGAGATTAAGGCTTGTGGTTGCCTCCTGCTGATATTAAAGGACCCCCTTTCCAAGGCACACAAGAAATAATGGTGACTCCGACATCAGAATGAGAAAAATGTTCAGCTAAAGATCCATTTCTGATGCTTTGTCCAGTTGAAAAATTAAATTTGAAGTGTCTAAGAAAGTGAAAAATGCTTCTAAATCAACTATCCCAGTGTTATCAGGAATAATGTACAAGAAATAGTTATAAGCAATTAATATAACAATATATAGCAAATGTATAAATTTTTACAAACTGGATATTTTAAGCATAGAATAAGGAAAATGTTTTGTTCAATATAATGAGGCATGGGTTCTTCTACAAGATATCACTAATTTATTAGATTTTGTTTTATGATACTGGAAACTTCTATAGTAATAATACTACAGAGGCATGGCTTTTATAGGTATTTTTACCCTAGCAGCAAGAGAGTAAGAAATCTAATCTGTGTTTTCTGGCTTATGTAGGATCACTTTTCAGTAGTCCACTACTATAAAATCCAAATGATTTATCTAAATCTGTTCAAGGGTAGGGGGAAGACAGAAAGAGACAGAGAGCAAGGAAGGTCAGGGGAAAGCTAATTCTGCTGTTAACAATGAATATGAGACTTTGGTTGCTAAAGGCTTACTATGTTTATCATAACTCGCATTCCTCTTTTTGCTCTTGCAGAAACCTAACACTATCCTGGAACCTGATTACCAGCCCTTGGTCATGAAGAACATTTCCACCCTGCCTGTGAATGTGTTACTCTCAACAAGCAGACCTTTCTTTATCTGCGAGAGTGATAAATCTCCCCTGCCATTAACTCCGGAGGTAAGTTGACAGAAGTCTGTCCTAACAAGCTCCTAGGAGAGGTGTGTGTGTGACAAAGGAAGAGAATAATGTCAGTATACTACCTAATTTAGGTCCAGACAAATAGAAAGAATTCAAGAAATGAAGAGGAAAGAATACAGAAACTTTTAAATGTCATAAACTCCAATGTCAGTCAACTGTTATTTAATGGTGTAAGAACTTTGGCTCATTATGATGACTCTTCATTCCTGTCCATTGGAATCTTTAGAAAACAGTGACTTCCCACTAACGATAATAGAGATCTTTTAATTCTACTTTCTCAAATCCGACCAAAGCTCCATATTCTAGGCAAGAGGGAAATGGCTAAAACCCAGTCCCTAGACCAGAGAGCCCATCTCCAGATACTAAGAAATCTGAACTGTGCTGAGGGAAGAGGCTGTGAGCTTACGGAGTCACCAGCTTGACACAGGATGCAGTATTCTCTAAACATCCCTACAAGATCACCCCTGTGATCCTTTGCTGGGCATGAGGACACCAATGGAAATGGCGGGCCATGGGACAGGTGGCACTGCAGAGCTGTAGGGAAGGAGTGAAAGAGAAACCAAATCCACACACCACTGTGGTTAGCCTCCCAGTCTAGGGAGACAGCTCATGAAGAAGCGGTATAAAGGAGGAAGAGAGGGCAGGCAGTGATAGATCTTAGAAGAGGGAGCCTGTGACTGAAGATTTGCTGTGAGCCTAACTCAGGGAGATGGATCTTGGGGGCAGAGAGGGGACAGAGCTGCTTAGTGAGAGGGTTGCAGACAGTTCCCAAATGGTGGCTGTAAACTGCACTACCACACTCCCCTCCCGCACAGTTCTTTAGTGGGTTTCTTTCAAGCCTGAGCTGGGAAAAAAACAGCGAAGATCTTTGAATAGAGAAATAAAAGGCAGAAGAGGCAGAAGAAAAATGCCAGAAGAAAAACCTACTGCCAGGGAACCTACACGAGGAAGAAGACTGAAAGTATAAATTTTGTTCTCTATAGTCTCAAATAAATGATAGATGATATGGCCTGTCTTTAAAAAACTTAAAGATGAGATACAAGTGTTCTAAGTGGAGACAAAGACTAAACTCACAGAGCAGAGGAGAACAAATAGATGACAAAATGAAAATTCAGACATGAACAGCTTTCTCAGTCTGGGTGGTAGATCAGACCCACTCTCTTGTCCCTCCTGAAACCTTAAGAAAGAAGTAGAAATGTTCTGAAGGAAAGAACCCCAGAACAATAAAATAAAGGGGGAAGAGGATGGGTATAACTAAATAATGAGAGATTTAAACAAATTCTAGAAGATAGAATGAGGATGGAATGGGTTGACAAAAAGACACAAAAACCTGCATTCTAGAAGATTCTCCAGTGAAATTGCAAAGATGGGGGAGTCATTCAGCCTAAGTAGCCCAGGCTCAAAGGCAGCAAGTGTGAGGAGAGGACTGGAAGTAGAGGGATTCCATGTGCACTAGACAGCTGTCCCACCTGACTCCACACAAAAAATATGGGCAGCAGGCTTTTATCCCAAGACCTAAAGATAAGTGCTCTTCTCCCAGAGAAATTGATCAAATTGATCAGGGGAAATTTAATGTTTCTAGTGTGAGTTTCGGCCCTTTAGGATAATTCCTGGTGTTTAGGGTATGTCCATCAACTGATCATCCCCTCTCTGCCCAAGGAAGCTGTTCTGTGGACCAGCCCTATGTTACAAATTGAGACATGGCAGCCTCTAGATTGTTAGGATGCCAGGTTGTGTCAGAAACTACTGTTTCTTGTAGTAACTCTTGTAGCATGGTCTGACCTTTCATATGATTTGCATGTGTAACTTTAATAAAAGCATACATATAGTTTAAAAAAATAAAGAGCCCCTACAAATCAGCAGGAAAAATACCAACAGCCCAATAGAAAAATAGGCAAAGGAAATGAACAGAGTTCACAGAAAGAAAAACAAAGCAGTTCTTAAACATATGAAAATGTGCTCAACTTTAATCACATTAGAAGAAATGCAAATTAAAATTACTATGAAACACATTTTTTTCCTATCAGATTGGCAAAGGGCAAAAATCAGATAGTGCTTGGGCGCCTGGGTGGCTCAGTTGGTTAAGCGGCTGCCTTCAGCTCAGGTTATGATCCTGGAGTCCCTGGATCGAGTCCCACATCGGGCTCCCTGCTTGGCAGGGAGTCTGCTTCGTCCTCTGACCCTATCCCCTCTCATGTGTTCTCTCTCTCTCATTCTCTCTCTCTCAAATAAATAAATAAAATCTTTAAAAAAAAAAAAATCAGATAGTGCTCTGCGTTGGGAGGGCATGTGGAAACTCCCACAGTGTTGTGGAAGGTATACATCAGAAGGCGATATGGCTACAGCCATCAAAATTTTAAATGCCCATACCCTTTGACTTACTTATTCTACTGCTAGGAATTTACCCTTAAGCTATACAAGATAACATATAGACAAGAATTTTCATTGCAATATTGATTACAAGAGCAAAAGATTGGGGGTCAATTTCCATCAATAGGAGATTGGTTAAATCATTGTTGATAGAATTTTATGATAGAATAAAATGCAGCTACAAGGCAAGTCCATATGCACTGATGGGTGATCTCCCAGTGAAAAAAGCAAATTGCAGAACAAGAATGCACAGTATGCTATAATATATATAAAAAATATAAAAATACATATATGAACGTGATTTTATATTCATACAATATCTCCACAAGAATAAGCAAGACACTTGTAACCTTGGTTACTTTAGGGGAGGGGAACTAGTTGGCTTGAATAAGAGGTTTAGATTTTTTAAAGTAAGGCCATACCTTGTCCTGGGACAGAACGTTATGGAATATTCAACAGGGAGACCTATCTTAGTGAAGTTCCTGGTCTTACTGATAACCAAAGAGTTCTATGGCCTCTAAGCAGAAAAGAAGGGACCCATCAAGGGAGGAGTTTAGACTAACCACAGACTTCTCCATGATAATACTTAATGCCAGATGACAACGGAGCAATGACTCCAGAGTTTTGAGAGAAAGAGCAACCCAGGTACTGTCCTTTGAGTGTAAAGACAACAGACAGACATTCTCAGAATGCGAGGAATCAATGAACACAGCATGCAGACAACTTGCTGAAAAACCCGTTTGCCAAGAAATACAGCCATTCAGGAGAAGAACCGAATAAGGCACTCAGCAATGAAAAACCCTATCAGGGAAAGACTGGTAGGAAGCACTGAGCCCATTCAGCTGTAGAACTGAGACTACACGACTTTGGTGGTTATGACTTGGGAACAAAATGTTTGAAAGCTCTACTTATAAAAAGTAACACTACAGCCAATAAAAACTGGGAGATGCAGGGAGCAAAAGAGGGTTGATATTTCCTCCCTTTTTACAGGTGGGCATTGGTAAGCTATTGTCTAAATTGGAACTGCTTAATACTTAACCATCTTTTTTCTTGATCATAAAGGGATAATAATAGTCATAGGCATTTATATGCCATACATACCCCATGTGCCAGGCACTGCTCTGAACACATCACATAAATATTAACTCATTTCGTCCTCTTAAAAAGAGGTAGGGACTGTTATTACCCCTATTTCACAGATGGAGAAACTGACGTCTAGGAAGACTAAGCAGCTTTGCTCAAATCCACAGACCTGGTAACTGGCAGAAGCCAGATTTGGACCAAGCAGTCTGGCTCCTGAGTCTATGATTTTAGGATTAATATCTCTTGTGTAAGAATATTTTTTTCAGGTGGTTTTTTTTTTTTTTTGGAAAAACTCAAACATTTTAAAAAATAAATTAGTCTAATTTCATTTTTGTAAAAATTGTATTTATCCATCCATTCTGTCTGGACTAATGTTTAAAAAATATTAACTCTGAGAAATAATATGTGGTGACATTGTAGATGAGTTTCTCCTTTCTCCTCTTTGTGCTTTTACATATAATGCAGACTTCTGCAGATGTGTATCATTTCTACAAAACAACAAAGAGGGGGAAAGCATTTAAGTCAATCTTCGAAGATACTGGAACGGTAGGCATCGCAATCGCAAGTGCTAGACATGGTGCCATTCGCAAGAATGCGTTCTAAATTGTGCCCCAGCCACCTGCCCAAGTGGCCAGCCGTGCTCTCAGATGGGATTAGCTGGCTGAAGAGTCACTGCCCTCCCTCTGAATCTTGAATCAGGTGATTGGCTTTGGACACCAAAGCCATCTAATCATGTCACACTGAGGGGCACGCACAGTGAAATACCTGAACCCAAAAACTCCATGGAGAGGCAGGAGCTCCATAAAACACTCATTCCTGCCTCCGACTGCCTCAGGGCACTGTCTGCAAAACCAGGAGGTGCCTTTCCTGCGGATTAACTGTGGGAATTGAGCAATTCCTGAAAAAGCCAACTGGTAGCCAGGCTTCGTATGGTAAAGTATTCTAGTGGCCTTGGCAACAAGGAACATGGGGATTTGAATCAAAGAGAGAAAAGGATAAATACAATCTACTGAACAAACTCTGTCAAGCTTCTGGGTGTCATTTTAAGTTGAATAGAAAATAGCAGAAAGTAGATAACACTGCGCTTAAGAGTTAGAATTGCAGACATGAGTAAAGAAATTAAATTGCTCATCCCTTTCTGGGTCACCCGCTCCAGAGCCCCTCCCCCAGGCTCTAAAAGCCTTTTAAAAAATTCTTAAGCAACGGATTTTTCCCACTTGCCTAGGAAGAGCATTTTACAATCTAATTTATTTTCAGTTAAGAGTATTTTAAATAGTTATTCATTGCAGACTTTCCCTTTTGCAACTCCTCAATCCTTATAACTTCACAACTATAACCAAAATCCCTTCCTTCAAATGATTCCTGTCCAGATTTTCCTTGCTTTCATTTTCAACTAATAAAATGTGTGTGTGCATATATGTATATAAAATATCTATAGTTACCGATACAGTATAGAATTTATATAGATTTAGATATACTAGCTATTTGATTATGCATAAGTGTGAATATATAATTATGGACCAAAGAAGTGTGGATATATATGTATTTTATACTAACCTGTGTGTATATATATGTGTGTGCATCTGCATGTGCGTAGGTACATAAATACATATAAATCACTTTGGTTGTCCTGTTTCAGGGATCAGGTTAGAAATGCACAGTACAAAGGTTAGTAATTCCCCCATTATCTTGTTTGTAGCCTATTAAACTGGAGATTGATGGAGAAAAAAACTTGCTGGTCAAATTTGACCCTTCCTACAGAAATGATTTGAACAACTGGATGGCAGAAGAAATTCTAGCGATCAAGTACATGGAGCACCCTCAAGTAGATAGCCTGAACCTGCGTGGAGAAGTGAACTACCCCAACCTCAGCTTTGAGACCATGGAGCTGGATTTTGGCTGTATCCTGAATGATACCGAGGTGATCCGATACGTAACAATTACCAACTGCAGCCCCTTGGTGGTGAAGTTCCGCTGGTTCTTCCTGGTGGACAACGAGGAAAATCAGATAAGGTACCACCTGCCCAGCAGTCCCTCAGAGCTCTTCTCTACTGGTCATTTTCCTCTCCTTTTGGCTTTGCACTAGGTTTCCTGAATTCTGTGTGCTGATCTTTCGCATTTCAGTTCCAACAACTGATTATTGACAGAAGGAACAAAGGGCCTCAAATCATGGTTCATCCTAGATTTTCAAATGGGAAAACCAGATGAAACATCTTTGAGAGCCCCTATTACCCCCAGATTAGCAGCTCAATATCCATAAGCCTGCTTTAATTTTGAATTGAGTGGCTGGATCATTAGAAATTTGTCACTAAAAAATGAAGTCTTTATAGCGTTTTCTTAAGCATTTCAAAATCAAAGCACGAATCGAGGATTACAATACATTGAGTATGTGCTGCACTGAGCTCCATGCTCTGCATATTTCAGTGAGTTCGAGTCTACCCCATATATATACACACACATGTCCATGCAGATGTATATATCTGCACAAAGCAGTGGGAGGTGGTGAGTGCTGAAAGAGGAAAGCCGTTTTCACAATATTTGGATTTAGAAGTGTCTCTCTGTTCAATTAAAAGCTAAATCCAAATTTAATTTGGAAAACACTCCTTAAAAAAATATAAACAGCCTGTTTCGGGCCTTAGGAACATTTTCTTGGGGAGTCCAAAGCCTCACTGGCGACCAGGACAAACGGGCTTCTGTATATCTCCCTCTTGGATGTTTGGCCAGCTCTGTGTTCAGCCCCTGAATGTCCAGTAGCCACTCTGAATAGGGAAGGCTCATGTTGTTTCCTCAGCTCGACGGTACTTCCCGTATGCAACCCTCATCTTGTAGATGACAGCCAGCTTTTCCCTTCCCTTGCTTGTTACCATGGTAACCACGGCTTGCTCTGGATGTCTTTCAGAGACATCTAATCATGACCCAGAGTAGCCCTGAAGCCCGGCCGGGGCCCGAACGACAGAGCCTGCTCATTAGATGCCAAGGACTGTTTCGGTTTGGGATGAAATCAGCCAGCCTGACCTAATGAGCTTTGAATACCAGATTCTGTGAAGTTATTTTGATGTAACATAGCTACACGAGTTTATTCTATCTGGGAGCCAGGGACATGCTTTGTTTATTTTTCATTTTTGAGAGGCCATTTCCGTAATTAAAATAATGGCTTTTGAAAATATACTTGACCAATACTGGAGATGATGCACTTAATTTTTCATTGATTTAAGCATCTTTTTAACCATTTTCCCCATCTTCAGGATCTTCCTATATCTCGATATCGAACCTCTGCTTATAATTCATTTGTTCACTCATTCACTCATTCACTGAGAGAGTCATTCAGAAAACATTTGATAAGTGACTCTTATGCATCAGACAATGTGTGAGGTGTCAGGGATATAAAAGTAAGTAAGACTTTATCCCTGGCCTGAGGCTTTTGGGGAAGCAGAGGGAACATGTGATAACACCAGGCTCTGAGGAAGGACAGAGCAGGGATGACAGCTCAGAAGAATCCAGGAAGACTGCCCTGATAAGCACAGTTCAGTGTCTCCGGTGGAGCAACGAGGAAACACTCTACCTAACAGGAATAGCATGTTTATGTTAGTTAGGATTCATGGATTTCATTCTGTCACAACTGACAGGAAGCCTGACCCCAAACAAAAACAAAAAGGAAAGGACATTGACTGGCTCCTACAACTCGAAAGTCCAGATTCACTCTGGCTTCCGGCCCAGCTTAAAGCGAGCCTCAAACAGTGTCACCAGAGCCAGGGGCCCTGTCTTTCAGCTCTGCTCTCTCTTGTGTGTTAGCCAAGTTTTCAGGTCCGCTTTTCTCCCATGGTCCCCACATGGCTGCCAGCACTCCTGGGGCTGCATCCTTGCAGATCTGAGCTCCCAGAAGGGAACATTGGGCCTTGTACCAGAACTCTCTGGAGATTCACTCTGATCAGACCAGTTCAGTCCCATTGCCTCTCCCCTCCCCAAGTCAGTGGCTCAGTGGAGAGCAAAGTGCTGATCAGCGTTGTCTCGGCCACCTGCCCCACACCAAGGGCTGCCGTGGTGACCTCAGAACCCCGTGGACTGAATGGGGTGGGAGTAGGGCAGATCTCCCGACATGTGGGAGAATGAAGGCTGGAAGGGCGAGGATGCATCTACCAGTGTCCACAGAGAGCCCGTCAGCGTGGCCATAGCATAGACTTCACTGGCTGGGGAGAAGCCAGGAAGAAGTCTAGGGTATAGCTTGGCAGTCGTATGTGAGAGGCCTGGTGCCTGAGATAAGGAGTTTAGACTCTTGGAAGCAGTGGGGAGATTTGTAAACCAGAGGCGACAAAGTCTGCTTTTTCTTTTTTTTTTTTCTTCAGAAAGATAACTCCGCCTCATTCAACATGGCTACCCAACCCCTCCTTCCAAACACCTGCCTTTCTTGCTTTGAATAACACTGCACTCTCCTGCTTTCCTGCTTATCCCCTCAACCTTCCACCCCTTCTCAGCCCTGGGCCAGGAACAGGTGCACTGTGTGTGGGATGCAGGGCTCCTCCTAGGCCCCTGCTCTTCTTGTAGTGGCAGCTAATGCCTGTCACTGGGGCTTCTGACTGTCTCCACCTAGACCCTCTGCTGAGTCCCAAGGGCTTCTCCTTCTTGACATCTCCTCTTGGATGTTTCCCAGGTGACTCATGTCCAACGTGGCCCGTGCCAAACTCGGGCTCTTCCCCGACCCCCTCCCTGCCTCTCCTCCAGGGCCCCCTGTCCCCAAGAATGACAGCGTTGTCCTGAGAGGCATCTAGATTCCTTCCCATCCCTGACCTCACTCAGCAAACCCATCACCAAGTGCTACCTATTCTGCCTTCTAAAACCTCCTCATTCCCATTTCCATGGTGATTACCCTAATTCAAGTCACCATCCTCTCTTGCCTGGACCATTTTGGTGCCCCCAGCCGGGCTCCATCATCCACCCAGGTAACCAAGTGATGAACAGGTCACTGCCCTGGTTTTCAGCCTTCAGTGAGCACCATGCTTCTCAGGATGAAGTAAAAATACCTACTGTGCTCAGTAAGGTTCAGCGTGGGCTGTCCCTGTGTTTCTCCCCAGTTTCTTCTCACTTCACTCTGCCCTTACCATGCTGGCCCCTTTCCCGTCCAGTGCCGTTCCTGTCTAAGCCCGCACTCTCTGCTGGAAGCTCTTCCCACGCCCCACCTCACCAGCCTCTGCTCTCTTGTCAAGTCTCAGCCCCAATGTGCTTCCCCGGGAAGCTGTCTGGAGACCCTTCCCTACCTGGCCTCCCCTGCCATGGGCCCTGGTAGCCCATCTCCTTCGGGACACATCACACTTGTAATTATGGCTCAGTGTCCAACGTCCCGGCTGGCTCTTCATCCCCTTGAGGCCAGGGAGCTCATCTGTCCTGTCACCTCTGGATCCCAGAGCCCAGCACAGAGTAGGTCCTCAAAAGGCATTTTCTAATTTGTAACTGCTCCCCCCGCCCTAGCCTGGGTATTTGTGGCGAGGGAGAATCATTTCATCACTGATTAAAGATTCCCCTTTTCTGTGGGCTTCTTGGCACCTGTCAAATGGAAAGGTTCAAGGTATAAATGTCACCTTGATTAGAAAAAAAAAATGCCACTTGCCTTTCAGACAGGCTTTCTCTGCAGACAGTCAGAAAAACATAAACCACTCATTGGCTAAAGGTCACTTTTATCAGGTATACCAACCCTAACCTTTCTTTTCCAATTAGAATTCTCCTAAGCCTTACCGTTAGTAAGAGAAACCGAAGCATGAAAGACGCCTTTCTTTTTCTTTTATTAGGGCTGGATATGAGGATGTGCAGCCACTCTCACCATCTTTCCCTGTCACAGCACACACGCATCTGCTGTGTGTGCACACGTGTGTATACACACGCATGTGTGCATGGGTGTGACTTTGTAGGCATTTCTGACTGGGCCATTTAAAGCATCTCTCTTGTTCGAGCATTTTTTTTTTTTTCTGAGTTGGCCCTCATGTCACATAAAAGAACAAAGACAGAAGCAAAATGGACAAGCATGCTAAGAAAGCACTCCTTAAGAGGAAAGCCGGTCATTGTCTTAGACACTTATGCACGTGAGTTCACGTGCATGACTGGGTTCGGGACTGACTTTGGGAGCTGATGGGCCAGGCTTTGCGTACATACACATGTCATGAGGAAGCCGGGGTGAAAGATACGGTGCGGGTATGTCTGCTGGCAAAAGCCAGCACTGTAGGAACGTGTCCCTTCTTGGGTCTGTCTCTTTGGCGTGACTGCTCAGCTGGCCGAGAACATGATGCTTCACGGCATCTGCGTGGAAGAGACACACAGGCCGCCCACACGTGAAGCAGCCTTTACCCCTAGGAGGCCAGAGAGATGCTAGCTTGGCTGGCACCTCTGCCCCAGCTCAGGGCCACAAAGCTGAGGTGATGCTAGAACTTAGAGCACGTGGCCAAGTGGTCTCCAAGGATAGTGTGGCCTTTTTAAAAAAATTTATTATTTTTTTATTTAAATTCAATTAATTAACATATAGCGTATTATTAGTTTCAGAGGTGGCGTTCAGTGATTCATCAGTCTTATACCCAGTGCTCATTACATCACATGCCCTCCTTAATGTCCATCACCCAGCCACCCATCCCTCCACTCCCCTCCCCTCCAGCAACCCTCAGTTGGTTTCCTAGAGTTAAGGGTCTCTTATGGTTTGTCTCCCTCTCCGGTTTCATCTTGTTTCATTTTTCCCTCCCTTCAGCTATGGCCCTCTGTTTTGTTTCTGAAATTCCACATATCAGTGAAATCATATGTTCGTTGTCTTTCTCTGGTTGACTTATTTCACTTAGCATAATACCCTCTAGGTCCATCCTCGTCATTGCAAATGGCAACATTTCATTTTTTGATGGCTGAGTAGTATTCCATTGTGTATATATACCACCTCTTCTTTATCCATTCATCTGTCGATGGACATCTCAGCTCTTTCCACAGTTTGGCTATTGTGGACATTGCTGCTATAAACATTGGGGCGCATCTGCCCCTTTGAATTA